CGGCCCGGCACGGACGCGGCGGAAAGCGCTGTTTACGATCCGGAAGTGGGGCAGGGAAGAAGCGCGGGCTTATAAATAGGCGGACAATAACACAGTCGTCCGGATGATTACTACGACCCCGCCGTCCGTCTGCCTCGCAGTCGTCTCATAGCCGATCTGCCCGCTGTCTCGGCATCCCCTTCGTCCATGATCCTTTTTGTTTGGTTTATACCTCGCAGCGCCTTGCAATTTTCCCCTCGTTTTCCCATTCCTCTTCCGCAAAGCTTCAACGTGGAGTCGCTTCCACATCACTTAATCATCGCTGCCCCTCGTATGTGCCTTCCCGGCCTGCCCGCGTCATGTCCCTTCCTCATCCCGAAGAATCTCTGAAGTTCTCCCCGCCTCTTCTGTCTCTTCGTCGTTTCTCTTCCGCCAGCTCCCAGCCGATCTCTGCCTTCTCTTCACCTGTCGCTTCGGCGCCTTTCCCTACCTACTCCGTTTCCTTGCCGCCTGTTCACCGCCTGCACCGTGTCTCCAGCCCCTTCCGTGCCGTCGCGCTCCGCTAGAGAAGTGAGGTAACCGCGTTATATCTGACTAGAACAGTTCTTGCTTCATCTTCGGCCTCTTACGTAATGGAATGGAGACGGGCCTCAGGGGGTCGCTCTAAGACATTCTGTGCCATAAAAGCTAATTAAATTTGTCCGCAGTAAACAGAACTAACCAATCAAAATCGTAGTCAATAGATGTGTATGTTATAGTTAAGTATTAGAAAGGCATGGGATACAATACTGATCAGAAGATTACTCACGGGAGGTATATACTCCTCTTGTGAGTACTAAAGTCTTAAATGTAAATTGATATTGAGGGTAAATGACAGAATGTCTCAATTTTCTTTGGATAAATGCAAACTATACGGGAAAAATCTATTTGTAATGATCTACGTTCGTCACATTTTCGACATGTCTAAAAAAATGCACATTAAATCTATATTTTTCTAAATAGTTTTAATGGGAAGGAAAGGTCTAGGACGAAATCTGGTCATTACGGCAGCGGAAAATAATAAAAAAGAAGAAAGCATCGAGTCTATTACAAATTATTTTTAACTATGTTTGTGAGTACAAGGGGAAAACTTGAACAATTTCTCACAGTAGCTGCAGCCAAGTCTACAATGTTTGACCCGTAACATGTTAATTTTGACTATTTTTGCACGGTGCATTCTCAACGAATCATCAGAAGCTACTGTATAATGCAACTCACCGAAAAAGTGCCTTCTTGATATTGTCTCCCCTATAAAAAACAGAGCATTATTAAGAGGCATGAGAAACTAAGAATGAATAAATTGCACGTAGAAAAGGAAGTTTGTTGAAAGAAATATTGCTTTGAAATTCTATTGCGAGAGTCGGGAATTTGAGTACATTGCAGAATAACATATTTTTATTTTTTCTGCCGCAAAGAAGCTGGCTGCTGTTCAACGCTGAGTCGGCCCAGTCGGTCTTGCTTTTAATAACACGTCAGCTATTCTTGTCTCTTCGTTATGTCATGTTATACTTCCATTGCTAAGTGTAGAACACGAGACGCCTAGGAATGTAGCGCTAAATCCACTGCTTAGTAAATGATACGGTGCAAAGTACAGAATAAATCCTATATTTGACGCATAATGAACATTTTATTGTTACACTTTGTGTAATGACGGATAAACGATTCTTAACGTATACTTATTTACCGAATGAACGTTGAAGCTCACATATTGTATATTCATTACTTACTTCTATTTTGCATATGATAGCCGGGGCACGGACGAAACATATTTTTATAAGTTCCCCGAATACAACACATCCACTCGATCACACACAGGAATGATATGAGAAAAAGCATATTTGTTCTTCTAAAAAAAGTATAAAGGTATTAAGACAGTAAGACAGAGGAATTGGTTCACAGGTAGACTACTTCTTCCTGCTTTTGTTATCTGCAACCCGTCCACTCACTTGTTGCGCAATACTGCATTATCTCACTATCTAAATGCTTAAAACACTCATCACGAAGATTCATGAGCATGTGATAAAACATGCAAAGAAAGTTATCTACCGTTTCTCAAGGCGTATGAGAAAGGGCAATAGTGAATGTGAACATTTATCGCATAAATAGGAGACTTCTTCATTGTAGTATTACCTATTTGTTACAAGATTTAAAATTGGTTTAAAATAATGGGACAGTAGGTCATAAAATTCTATCTAAAATTATTACTTCCTATTTTACACGGAACTATTTTTTATAAATATTGAAATATATTTCAAATTTATTTGGGGGTATAGGTTGCCTCTCCTGCAAGGGATCCTCCATTTTTCGTTTATTATTGGCTTACATAAAACAATAATTCAAAAAATGAATTGAGAGGCGTTGAAAAACAGAAACATCCAAAAAACAGCAAATTTTCACGAAATAAAATATTATAGACTGTTCCTGCTTCGTAAAGGATAAAACATTTTCTAGATTTTAATGATTTAACATTATTCAAATTTACCCTAAAATTCGGTAGTATATGAAGAAATGTATAGAGTTTCTTTTTAGAACATTTAGTTTCTATTCATTTTCTCTTCAGATAAAAACAAAACAAAACAAGATCATTCACGTCAGAGTGATAATCTGCCATTGGTATTTACGCAGCAAATTTTGCATTCACATCATAAGATATTCTAAAGTGTCATAATTAAAAACTCATAACTGAAACTCTTACTTAAATACAGCAATGAAATGCATATTCTCTAGCATGAAAAACGCAACAACTCAATTCAGCGGAAAGCCCCCTAGATGCCCAAGTTTGAATCCTCACGAGCAATAGTAATACAATATGGAGAGCAGAGTACTTCCGCATCATCCAAGCAAATTTTGGGAAGCTTCTATGATGTGTGGAATTCGAGAAAATGAACTTCGCAGGAGCGGACATCATTGCCGTGGGTGGTATATACTGTATACGAGATCTTTATTGAATGTTAAAGACACTGTCATTGAAAAACAGTAACACAATTCAAGTGTTGCGTAAACTAAACCCTTGTTGGTTTTGTACTATTTTCCTTGCCCTGTTGGCATCATGCAAGTTTTGTTAAACTTTTGCCTTTGTTTTATTTTTGTATGAATAATGCATTTTTCGATCCTGAGAGTGCACACCCGTGCGCGCACGTAACTCTCATGTGAAGTAGCATCTCTTATTTGGTCGAGTGCACATGGTCTTTGCTTTTAAATTTGGCGAGACGATCGTCTATTCGTGACGGTCAGTGGCCGAAGGGGCACTGGCCCCAGGGCTCGCCGCCGTTCGAGGAATCTGGCAGCAGGACAAATAATTTCGACGCCAGAAAAAATGAAAGAGGTTATGTTCGTCTGGGGTTGCTCTGTGATTAAAGCGTTCGTCTCTTTAATATTCTGCATCTGCACGTCACGGTCTGAAACGCAGCGTGCGTGACGTCAGCTCCGGAAGCACTCAAAGGACGGGCGTGGCAGGCTAATGGTGATTGGTGAATTCCGATTGATAGGGCCATTCGACCTGTGATTTGCACATATAATAGCGCAATTTCAGCGCATGAATGTAGATCTGCTTCTACGTCCTTGCAAAACAACCAAATGGTGTGACGACTGAGCACGAATAAATTATTTAATTACATTATTATATTCCTCAGTTTGACGTCCTTTGCTTGATACACTTACAAAAATAATGAGAAATTAAACATTAGCTCATGAGAATATTCTACCACATAATAAAATGTTCGATCAAATGAATGTGGCACTGTGCTCACCTTGGCCATGGTTTAATGGTATCAAAGTAGTAAGAATTCAGAATAAAGTGATACACATGAAACAATGGCTATAAATGGTTGCCTACATAATTGATACTGGATCCCAGTGATCCACAAGATATTGAATACCCTGGGTGGAGAACCACCGAGATTCCCTGTGGATCCACTCATCACGTGTACTTCATGACTGTCTACGCATTGTCATCCTTTAGTCTGATTTTGAGTGAAACAAAGACATGGTAGCTGCATGGTGAAATGTCTTGGCTATAAAGGAGATGTTCGAAGATAATCGAAAACCTGCTACAAATCATAGTGCAAATAATGGCTACATGTCCCCTCATACCCAAGACCTCACATTTTGATCACTATGACTTAGTTCCCATCTCTAATTACGTCATTATGCAGACGACAATGTCAATTCGTCGTTGAATGGCACGTCGCGTCGTCGCAAATGTTGATTAAATACTTTTTTTAATAATAAGCGTTCAAAACCACGCAGCAATATCAAATTTGCAGCATTTAATATATTTGACTTTTAAGTATGAATTTGTGTACGAATATAAAATTCTTTACGGTGAATCCAAACACAAAAAGGCCTGGCAAAATACAAGCCATTAAAATCTTAATTGTAAAAGCAGCTTGGATTTTTGTCAAGAACTGAACTTTAATTTTGGGAAGATTATTTGTGGGTGATAGGAATTTAATCAATTAAAAAATGACGTAGAGAAACTAATTGAATCAACTAGTCAATTTCAACATAAAACGAATGAAAACATAATTGGTGGGATCTACAATGAATGGGTGTCTTTTCGCAATAATAATTTATTTTCTAGTGAATTTAATGGCGTGTGTTGTGTACAGGATTGTTTCAGTAATGTTTTAGGTCTAAAAACATTATATTTTGCATTAAAATCCATTCCTTTTAATTTCATTTCACTCATCTGCAGTAATAGTCATATTTATAAAAAATATTTCCAGAAGAGCCTTGCAAGGACAATTGACAAAATATGTAAAGAGAAAACGGACATGAGAATTGCAATTTTTGTTATATTGTTTCTCGTGATCACGTTTTGCCAAAAACGTTCCTCATCATCTTCATTCATAATTCAATTGTAAATAATAGAAGAGTAAATGGGGCGATTCTACATCTCCCTCCTCCGAAAAAAATTGAGCATGTCTTCACCATATATCCAATAGTTTTGAACCGTTTGTGACATTAAATGTATTAATAAACTAATTAATGTCAATTTCAACTTTTGTTTGATGTCTACTTAAGTCCTACCATTGGTTGAAATCACTTCGTCAAAAAATGTACAAAAACCAATTAATGTGACAACCTGAAAGCGTTTGTATACTTGTGTGAAAATACTTCTGCAAAAGGTAATACAAAAATCAACAAAATCGAGCAACAATTATTAGTAAATTTTACAAAAAAAGCGTTTTATGAATTAGTATGATGTAATAATGATATAAACAAATTACTATCAATATAGTGATTGATTAGTGATTCCGGGCGCGTCACCTGCTACGGTCATTTTTCCCGTAAGTGTGAAGCTTGTTTTTTTATCGCAGGAGGTGGTGGTGGTAATTTTCTCCTGCTCAATGGAGAGATCCGTTCCCGACCTTCTCGGCGGCTTCCGGGAATTTCCTCCAGGAAGCATCTTCCACCCGCTGGGCACCGCACCAGCTGGGACAGGACCGACAGGTCTCCCGACATGTATGGTAGTGTAGTGCATATAAGTTAGGGTGTGTACGTAGGGGTGATAGGACAAGGAAGAGGAAGAAATGGTCCGTGGCCCGTTTGTTAGGGTACTACTCCCACATTCGCCTAGAGATGATCGGAGAAACTAAGGAAAACTACTAAGGAAACAGCTGCCACCCGCTACAATTCTCTTCCAGACAGCGGCTGAATTCGACCTAGTAGCAAGTGCCGAAATTCCTGGCCCCGTCGGTACTCGAATTCTAGGACCCCCCGGTCGCAGGCACTGCAGTGATATCCTTTGATGCCCAGAGTCAACTAAGCCGGTGAACTGGAAGATGATAAAGAAGAAGACATACTGTGATCACGCAGGTAAATCTCAAGTTCCTTAGGTAATGAAAAAAGGTTTAAGAGAAGTGTGTGTGCAGATAGTAGGCCCTAAACCATGAGCAGTGTGATGATGAAGAGAAAAACATGTGATGATGTAGAACTGTTTCATAGTTGCATAGATGGCACAATTTGAATGTGTGTTAAAGCAAAATTGTCTATAGGTATAGGTATAGGTGATAATGATGGCTAAGCCATCGAAAGCTGCTTTTGAATTAAAAAACATTGTTGGCAATGACAACATCTTTAATTATTTCAAAATTGTCTATCTCATCAATATGTTTAATATGTTTAATGTCGAATAAGTCCAATCGTATTTAGAATTTGTAAATGAACTAACATCATTTCAGTAAAATTTTATGACCTTACTCGAAAAAAATTGTTCACGAATTGAGTTACATAATTTGTTGCGGTAGTGACGTCACGTCGCAAAACATGATTGGCAAAGAAAGTATAGGAAGTTACCCAAAACATTAGTTTGTGCCAAGTGTTTTTTCCGCTTCACACGTGCAGGTTGACAAACAACTTCATATCAAACAATTTAATTTGAAATAAGTAGAGAGATTCCATTATTCAAACAGCAATGGAGAATGTAGAAAGAACAAAAAAATACCAAACCAAGCAAAACCTTTTTTACAATTTAAAATAAACTCTAAACTTTTTGGAGAACTGCTGCGAAATTCCGGAAATGCAGAAGTTTACCCCTCGATTCGGACTCACTCATGCTTCGGGGGAGGAGGTGGAGGAGGAGGACGGGGAGAAAACAACCACATCGTCGAGAAGTCATGCATTTGTCTTATTGGGATATTTCTTCACAACCTACTACATTTAAAGAGGACAGCGATTAACAGTTGTATAATTCTTCGTCCAACTTACCTACACACCACACTTATCTATTCGCTCAAAAAGACGCGTATAACTATCCACGAAGCGACGCAACGCATTTTGAGTCGAACCCAGCCGCGCGTTCTCCGCGGATTAAACGAAAAGAGAGATATTCCCGTCAACTAGGCCGTCGCGCTGGCGCGCGCAAACATGTCACTCGTCGCCGCACGGCGCAGCGCGGCGCAGCAGCGCACTGCGTCACCCCCGGTTTCCGCGCGCTGCAGTAGCATACAACGCGCGGCACGTCCCGCCCGCCCTCTGCCACTGCCCGCTGGCGCCCTAGTTCTTGCATGTTGGGCGCAAGTCAAGAAGTGATACGCCCGACTATTTTAAATAGAACGGCCGTCCGTCGAAGCGGCAGGCCCGCCTCTCGAGCGGCCGCTCGCCTGCAGAGAAAAGGCGGCGCGCTCGCCAGTTCTTCGCGGCAGTGGCCCCGCGCTAGGCCGGACTAGGGCCGTGGCCGGGCGCGGCCGGCGGAGGCTGAATCCCCGTGTCGGGCTGAACGTCACCGGCCCGAGGAAGCTCGGCCAGGAGGGCTGAGCGCCGGTCCGCGGCGCCGGGGCTGGCAGGAATGGCGACGCCCGAGCGCGCCCGGGTGACCCGGGTGCCCGCGAGCCTGACCTCGGCGCCCCGGACAGGCTGAGAGGGCCTGGGCGGACGGGCCGCGGGTGGACGGCCGGGACGGGAAAGGCGGGCCTAGTGGAGGCCGTGTGATTGCCGGGGTGGGCGGTAGCCGGGGCCGGAGAAGCGGGTCGGGAGCGGGTGTGGCTGACCGGGTGGGGAGAGTCAAGTCCGGCGGGGTAGCTGTATGCGTTCGGCGAGAGGGGTGGCAGGGCCGGGCGGACTGACGGTGGGCGGCCCTCGACTCTAAGTCTACCTGGGATCGCGAGAGAATGAATTACTGGTTACATGTCTGACACAGTATGCGATCTGGGCAGGGTCCCCTTTAACGAGCGGTGCGTCAGAACACGTAAAAAAGGCCGAATGGTTCGAGAAGACAGCAACGTAAAAGGACAACTCACAGCGCGCACATCCTCCGAGATCACGTGGTCAGGCCAGACCATAGGGAAGAAATTTAGAGCGAAATGAGGCTGTGGCAGTGCTGAAAGGCGGGAGAAGATTGAAAGGGTCACGTGGCGGAGTCGCGGGCAGCAGGGAGCAGGGACTGCCACGTGATGTGTAACGAGAAGAGGTGGAGGGGCATAACACTATGCGCCCGGGCAGAACGCGCAAGGTGATGTGGAGGAAGTTGATTGGCTTGAAGAGGAGAGGCAATCTCACTAAGAAGGTAAGAGGGCCATGGCAAACGATTGGCCAGCCGGGGTCGAACCGCAATCGCAGAAATGCCGCAAAAAATCGCAACGGATTGACAGGACGTGAGGCGGGGCGGGCATTCCACTGGGAAGTAGGGCAGAGCTTCCAAGTCAGCAGATCAAACCAGGGGGCAGGGTGGGTATAGGTCCAGGAAACAAGGCCTCACGTCCGGGCGGAACGTGGCCGGCGGCAGCGTGCGAGCCCCAGCCGCCAGCAGTCGTCGACGTGGCAGGGAAGAGGCGGAGGAGGAGGAGGTGGAGGAGGAGACGAAAAGCGGCGCGACGTCAGTTGAGTTACGCGTCTGCTCGCGCTCCAGCGATGTGACACGCTCTCCGAAATGAACGAGCACCCGCCCGAAATACCCCGCCCCGGGCCGCGCGTCTCTCTGGGCGGAGTAGCGGCGCGGGCGACACGACGCGCGCCCAGCGGCGGGGGGCCCCAGGGAGGCGCTCGGCGGCGGGATCAAGCGCGACCAAGCACGATCAAGCGCGATCAAGCGCGATCAAGCACGATCAAGCGCGATCAAGCGCGCCCCACCCAAGCAGGAAGGGCGAGTGATTGCAACGCCGTCGTAAATACTTCGACGTCATCTGATACGTAGTGCGATTCCATCTTGATCTCAGTTTTGCGTGCATTCCCCTTCAATCATTGAGCAAATGCTGGCGATTGTTACTGGACATATATGTAGCTTCACTGTGAGCACGTCGTATTGAGATCACCTTTTGTCTGTAGTGGTTGGAGAAGGGCCGGGGAGTGAGGGTTCTTATCTTGTTGGAAATGCTATAAAATCACATCTGCTGTTCGTATAGCAGTGCAAATACGTTTCAATTCGAAAAGTAATATTTTGGAATGTTGCTAAGCACGCTTCGTTGGACCTTTATTCATCATGCAAGTATATGTAGTAAAATGCCAGGCTAGACTTTCTGGAGTCCAAGGAAACTTACGCTGATTATCCATCTCCCCCATATGTCACATACAAGTTTTACTGTTTTTTGACGATAAATAAAATGAAATTATATTTATTTAAAAAGAAAATGAAATAATAAATTCTAATGTAAATAACAATCCCCTTTTCCATTTGTTAATTTAACAAATAAAAGGGTGACATTTTATTAGTGAATAAATAAAAACTACAAGTAGAATGAAATTATAACTTTAACGATATAAATGATAAATGAAATTTATTTTATGTTGAACCATTACAGGCTTGCCAGATGATTTAGAGAGTGTCCTCAAATGCCGTGTGTCAAATCTCCAAATTATATGCTAAAAAGGTGAAAATAAGAAATTGATCATATTTACCGAAATAAAATGTTTAATTTCTTAGAGCTACCGGGGTCCCTTTCGAAATGTTCATAAGTACCGCGGCTCCCTGCACCCCCTCCCCCGGGCGCATCCTCTGTCTTGAACTGAGAATATAGCTCGCAACATCATCATCAATTGTTCATGTTATATTTCCAGATGGAAAATAAACAATATTAAAACTAAGAGTTATTTAAATTTTATTATGAGTAAAATTTATTACATTAGTACATATTCTTTAGGTTTTCCACTTCCAATCTTGCCTACCACATGGAGTCGTGATGATTGGTTTTGACATTGAAGTCTGCGGCTGATTTATGTTAAATAATGCTACTTATTGTTAAATTATTTATTTATAGTTAGGTAATATGTTAATAGTCGAATTAGTAATCAAAATACAAATGGCCATTTGGATTTCACTGGCTGGATAAATACATCTCCTTTAAGGTTGGAGAACGTGCCGGGGCCCGTCACATCTGTTCTCTGTAGACTGGAAGCTTGCGTGATTTTGCGTTTGGGGCAAGACCGCTCCCGTTGCACTCAAATACGTTAAGCAACAATTTGCAGCCGAAGAAATCAAGGACGAACCAAGAAAGAAAGCTCTCCTACACCGACAATGTGCAATTTAATCGAATGTTCATTGAAATTAATCAAGACCCTTATGTCGAAAATTTGGGGCCAACATGCAATTTGATAAATGCATCTATCTGCCGAACACCAAGTAAACGGTTGCATCCTTGTTTCCAGTAGTTTTCGTGAAGAAGTTAGTTACCTACAGGGTTTTTTTGCGTTATCCTACATCCTCTTTTTTGCCAGTTCCTTCCAATACGTGACACACCCTTCACAAACCTCCTTAAACATCTCAATATGGTGTAATTTGTTCCCTTAAAAAGGAGTCCATTTCTTACTCATTATTTTTCCTTTTTTGAGAATAACGGCTAAAAAAGTGCAAGTGAAAGACCTTTTTGAGAAAGAAAAAAGAAGCAAAGAACGATAAACATTAGAAACGTACATAATTGCGGGTTTCATTAATTTATGTTTTTACAGTTAAATGTAAAGTTAACTAACAGGGAACAAAAAGCTAAGACACAAGGAAATTCGTAAATACGAATTGGTGAACATATTTTTCAATTACTAATTCCATGTTCCTCTATGTCAAGAAACTTACTTGAGATAGGGTTCCAGATTATTGAAAAACTTGAAAGTAACCGAGAAATTAATTTGCCAAGAAATTATTTTTCCGCTCATTACGGCGGTTAATACGGCCTAACTATTCTCAAAGAGAAAGAAGCATCATATTCACTTTTCAACAACTAAGTTTCTAAAATGCCAAGGAGTGTCCAACGACAGTGCGATGCGACTGACATCGTCTGTACTCTGCGATAAAAAAAAGCTGTGCTCAGAGGGTTCTATTTAGAGACAGATTTAGGTTGAGACCCTGGCGCACATACTCTTCATTCTTATTTTGACAAAGGCCATTGTCGCTTTTTCATGACCTATTTCTTGACATGTTCTATTGTGTTCATGCATTCTTGAACACATAAAATGATACATTAAACTTGGTAAATACGAGATTCGGGGATGATTTCAATAGGTATTGACAAGGAAAACGCAGCGGTCAAATAAATGATCTTTCGTCTTTTTATTTCGATCATTGGGATACATCGAAATTGAAAATAACTCTTTTCACATTTTATGGTCACATTTTACGAAATTGTTTATCTATAATTAGAAGGATATTTACTAAAGTATTTCTCCTTTATGGTTATCGTTTAAATTCTCCTTCCTCCGATTCAGAGAGTCATTGTGCTGATAACAGGAAGACCTTGATGACGTGATATCAATGTTTTTACCTTTCACTGCTCGATCCAAAGGATAATTTGAGTTTAACCAATTATGCACTTGAATTTGAAGATGAACTTTGCTTTCAACTGAAAAATGTTTTTACCATTTTTGATCGCATTCATGGAAATTTTTTCAGTTTCTATGGTTACATGTTTCACATTTAAATCTGAGTAGACTCATAATCCATTGACTTTGATCACTTAAGCAACCTTCATGATCGGGGTAATTTGTATTTGTTTTAGCTTAAAATTAAAATCTACTTCATTTTTCCGTTTAAAATAAATCATAAAATCACACAATTGACAATGGATGATCAAAATAGACAATCGAGACAGTTTTATGGTTGAAACTAAGTAGGGTTGATTTCCACAAATGGTGTTGTAACTGCACTGTTGGAGAGCGCCACAGTTTTGGGGAAAATACTGGGCATATATTCAATGTGAGAAGTACACTAAGATAAATGGAAATGCTTCAAGAGCTAAAAAGTGTAATATAATTTCTATGTAAAATTGAAAAACTGCAGCGAAACCTCTCTTACGCACTCACTATAGTTACGTCGAAAGAAATGTCTCTGGGTACAGTTCATTAATTCTTCCGCCAGATACGCAACTTCTAAATAATACGGTTCTAAGTAATTTTGCAATGTATCGCGCTGCAAGGAGTTGCTGAATCTACAGTATTTACGCTCTTCCGCTTCTTTTACAGCTACCGCGCAAAATCGTCCGAAGTTGTGGCCGTTTAATGAAGTTAATGCGATGGCGCTGACCAGCACAGACGGCGGATCTGATGGACCCGTGGGCACTGCCATAGCAGATGACCACCAAAAATAGAGAATATTTGCAGGTGACATGTGAAAAAATCCATCGATTCATAAGAAAAAATGCCTCCTAATGAAGAAGGCAGGTTAATCAAAGTGGACGTTTCAGCAATATTCAAAGTACTTCACTTTGAAGAACATTTATTATCATATTTTATTAAGTACAACAAAAAGAACAACTTGGTGTATTAACTGAGGTATTTATATCTTTTACACAAATATAACGTTCCACTTGTATTAGCATTTCTGGATATAAGCTATAACAACCAGGACGGAGATTAAAAACACTGTTTCTGAATTCAGAACTTGTTGGCACTTAAGAGAAATTATAAAAAAAGATATTCTACATACCCCGTTATTTATGTGAACTTGTTACACGAAATACCCTTCGTGCAGGAAAATGGTAAAAGAAGTAAAAAACACACTCATTGTTACAACATTTGAACCAATTTCCCTATCATTCAACTATAATCAGACGATACAATGGAAATGTTTAATATAAAATAAAACTATGGTAATATCACTAAATTGTTTTTATTACCCCTGAATTGTCAATATTACAAATATGGATTCAATGTATAGTAAGATTAATACAGTAATACATACGATTATTGTCATAACGTTAAAAAAAAAGGTTGTATCTATTTCACGTCGAAAATTGTTTCTTGCCCGAAACTACATTTTCCAACTTCTAGAATTTGAAAAGCATTAAAAATCCCCCAGCCCCTCTTCCTCCCTCCTAGGCAGGTGTACTATTACCATTCCTCCACCAAAAATCTCGGCGTGGGCCGGAACTTCCTGCTCTCCGACTTCTCGCGCCCACGTCTTCCTTCGCCCCCTGACGTTGCCGGATGAGGGAGAAGAAATCTGGCGCTTAATACGCTCTCGCGGAAAAAGAAGATTCGTTCGTCGCGTGGCTCCCGATTCGGACCTTCAAAAAACACATGCTCTAGTGTCGCGCTGCTCCCCACCTGCTTCCGATGCGTCGCGGAGATCTGCCAGATCGTGCATAAGCGTTTCCGGGTGCTGCATTTTTTTTCTTTCATTTTTTTCCAAAGAAAATAGTCCGCTTAATTCTCGTTGGTCGTCAACAGAAAGAAGTCAAAGGCGGTAGTTAAATCTAATTAATGGCGTGAAAATACGATATTAAACAACAGTATATTTTTCTTTTTACTTTCGAAAATTAAGTGAAGACAGGAAACACCCTTTAAAGAAGCACGGATTCAGGGTAATTGAAGAGACATATATTAATACTTGTGTTCTAGCTTTATTTCATCACATTAGACAAGATAAATACACATCAAATACTATATCAAACGAACGCCTAATATGATGCTGTCACACTTGGCAGCGGTTCGTTTCCGTACAGTTTAAGTA